TGCGCTCATAACACAATAGCTTCCTAATATTACTATAAATAATTTGTGTAGCTCAATGAAGTCAGCACACTAGACAGGCTCAGCAGCGGCACGCATCTCCGGCACTCACTATAACCGCCATTTTGGAAAATGAGTGGCGCCACCTATAGACCTTTCCAAAAAGAGAGCTTTGGCCGCCGCCATTTTGCGAATCGAGCGACCCCTATCAGCCAGAAATTTCCGGCACCCGCCTGAGCTGTGGAACCCCGGTCAGCGTTACTCCCCACCTGCATTGTGCATTCGGAGTTCGCCGGCTTTCCTAGGAAGTTTTTACTTTATTTGCCTGTTTAGGATGCTTACCCTTTGTGTGTTTTCTTCCACTGTGAGAACCAGGGAATACCAGGGCTCGTAGCCTACTCGGCCTTCACAGGAAACGAACGAAGAGAGCGAACGTCAAGCAGCTCGCGACGCAGGCAGTTCGACGTTCTTGGAGGATTATTTATGTTGAGATAATCTCCAAAAAGCCTTCTCGGCTATGTTCCGGGTTTTCGCGAAAAATAGCTGATAGGGTCGAGTCCGGGTTGTGGCGACGGAATAGACACGTTTGTACAGTTCCTTTGAAGCTGTGCGAAAAAGCAGCTTTCTTCTAGATGTTCCCCAAAACACACCGGATTCCGTCCGATTGTCGTGAAGTGACTATCGGCGATTGTGGACACTGTATATTGGACATGCTGTGTTATTTGATACATTTCTCAAGTCCTGTTGGGATAACGCGGCACCGTGGAATGCGTACAATATATCTATATGTTGCTCGATTGATGATACTCCTTGAATTTCATGTTGTGGGCGGGGAATATCCATGCAGTTCGGATATCCTGTCTGGTCAAATATTTTCGACGGCTGCGACCTTTGTAAACTGACACAGCTGAGTGTACGGTGCCGTAAAAAGATCAACATAAAAGGAAACAAATTTTCCAGTTGCATTTGTTCTGTCGCGCATGGACTCACTAAAACAGCTTTCATTTCTTCGTTTTTTGTTCCCAGAAAATAGTACAATGCATGCTTAAAAAACCCCAAAAAATTCTATTTACCATAGAACACGAAATAAAAAACAGAACGCGGCAATTTAGCCGCCAGCAGCGCCCGGAAGTGCACCTACGCAGGCTGCCACTGACACTGACGAGAAACTCCACAGCTCAGCGCAGTCGGGGAACACTGACGTACACTCTCAAAACCAGGGATACGCGCTGTAAATCGCTTCGTTCGAGACTGCCGCTGGAAAGGTCTACAGTTAGTTGGAGTCGCGTGCACTGACGTCACATCGCATACTTTTGACCGCCATGTAAAAGGAGGAGAGGGAAGCTGCGTTTTGTAAGAAGTTGGAGTGACAGGTGAATCTCCTATAACCTTCTGGGAGGAGAATAGCGACGTCTGTGCATATCCGGGAGGCACAAAGAAGGATCCTGATAAAAGGGGAGCTCCTTCTTCCCCTTTTCTCTTTTCTCTGGAAGTCTTTGAAGGGCTCTTTCAATTGACCTTTTTTTTTTAGGAGCGTTCTGCGCACGCGCGAGCGCCCGATGCCAAGCGGCGGAAGTCGGCACGAAAAATCGAGGAAATTCGAAAGGAGGCTGTGGATCAGCGAATAGAACACGTAATTGCAGTATATGTATAATTGAGTTACACAAAAAAAGAAAATGGACGGAAAGAAAAACACGACGTTTGGGTAGACGTCACGGATTCCCCTCTTTAAAGTCGGGTTGGGCACACGCCACAGCTCAGAGAGCGAAGAAACTGGTAGCGTAGCTCCCATTATCGCTTGGTAGCGCAGGTAGGTCACTTTTTCGAGTTTTAGTTTGTGCAGCCACCGCCTTGTGCCGTCAGTGTGGGGAAAGGTCCATTACGTCATGTGCAAGCCACGTATGTGTCACGTGTGAATGACGTCACGTTGCACGTGACGTCATTCAAGCGCTCCGATGACCACCAGAGACAAATCCGGGAGGTCTTTGTGCCTCCCGGATTTGCACAGACGACGCTATTCTCCTCCCAGAACATTATAGATCGTAATGGATTAACCCGACACTGAAAATTCTTACCGCAGCACTTTCCCTCTTCTCCTCTTACGTGGTGGTCAAAAGTATGCGATGTGACGTCAGCGCCAGCCGCCAAAAAACTCCTCTTGCATCGTTCGCGAAAAAAAGAAATGTTTATGGTGGGGGGGGGGGGGGGGGGGGATATTCATTGGACGCCATATTTGAGGGCGCTGTTTAGAGCGCATGCTCAGAACAAGCTCCCAATAATAGGCTGTTAAGACCGGCAATCTTGATGGTGCGGAGAGCACGTTGCAAAAGAACTGTGGAAGCTCGCTGTCAGCACGCGCTCATCAGTCGCGCACTCAGCTATGGCCGCCATTGAATACTCCCTATAGACCATTCCATTTAGCGCTCTCTGGACGGCACCATTTTGTTCGACAGCAGCGCCCTCTCCATACATCCGGGAAATTCAGCGGGTTCGGCGGGGTAAAACGAGAGAGAGGGCACGCGCCCGACTCCGCTAGCAGACGACAAAACGGGAGGTTGCCACTCTCCATCTTTGGGCTGTATCGGCGGGCTGTACGGAACATCAAACTCTCGCTCGTGGCTGCCGTTGTGAAGTGGTTCGCGTTCTTAGAATAGTTATGGCTACTCCAAAATCAGCCTAGAGCTCTCTGTTGTTCTATTTCGGTAAATGATCAACTGACATATCTTTTTTCCGTTACTTAAATAGCAGTTGAGTCAGCCGGCAGTACTACCCTCAACTACTGCGTGTATTGCGGCAGGAGAGCACGTTTTAATTTATTATTTCAGACATCCACTCATGGTCGCTAAAGGCCTACACCAGTACGAACTTTGTATAGTAAAAAAGGTACAGCCACCGGATTCACTTTTCGCCGGAGAGACCGGCCAGTGTGACACAGTTTTCCCTATGTTTTTTTTGTTTGTTTTTTTATTTGCACGCAGATAACAGCGCAATTGGACTCTGTTAGTCTTATTTATCTAGCATAGTAATACACGATAACTGGCATGCCAAAATCTGCGCATCTGCGCTTGAACTTCCCAAAATGACGCGATTTTAAACAGAGTTTGTACTCCAGCCGGATGCTAGGTACTGCTCACTCGGCGGAGCAGACGACATACGGGCGAGATGGGGAGGGCATTTTTTTCTCTTTTTACCGTCTGTGCTATGACCCTAATGCAGAGCTGGCAGTAATGTAATTACTGTAATGAAATTACAGTGATTTAATTACTTGTTCCGGTAATTAGTAATGTAATTCATTACTTTTTGTAGCAGGTAATTTAGTAATGTAATGAATTACTCCAGCGACGGTAATTGTAATTAAATTACCTTATTACTTTTTCGCACCAGGCATATTTTTTGTGTCCACAATACACAAGGCGCCTTTCTTTTTATTTTACTTTTTCTTTTTCCTCTAGACCTTTCCAAAAAACGCTCTTTGGCCGCCGCTATGTTGCTGATGCTAATGCGGCTGGTGCGACTCTCGCGCCCGCTATCAGCTAGACATTTTCTGCCACTCTCTTGAACTGTGAAAACTCGCTCAGCGCGATTCTCTACCTATGTTTTGCGGTTTTGCATTCGACGTTTTCTGGCCCCTCTTGAAAGTTTCCGCTTACTTTTTTTGATGCAGACTGCGTACCCTCTCTGTGTTATCGTCCACTGTGAAAAATAGGGCTGGTAAGTGCCTTCCATTCGGGCTTTTCCGCTCGACATTCTCGGGAAACGAAGGAGGGGAAGTAGGTCGAACCAAGGCTCCTGGTGGAACGGCCCTCAACGCGATTTTGCGAACAATGACAAGTGTTCTCCCCCTCCCAGAGATAATCCGCGTAGGGTCCTCAGTCATTTCCAAAAATAGTTGTCCAGGTTGGAGTGGGAAACGGATCAGTCGCGTGCGTTCCTCTGTCCACCGGTAAACATGCAACAGAGAGTTCTAGCTGCGTGCCATGAACTGTGCAAATAATGTAAATAAAGTTATCTGTAAAAGGTAGTTATCAATAGCTCCTTTATATTTAAAAGTATACAAAAGTAATGCGAAAGTAATGTCATTACTTTTAAAAGTAATTTGTAATGGTAATTAATTACTTTCTGGCTGTGGTAATTTGTAATGTAATTTAATTACATTTCAGCAATTTTCAGCAAAGTAATTAGTAATGTAATTTAATTACAAAATATGAGTAATTTGGCCAGCTCTGCCCTAATGGAACGGTCTATTAGCGGCGAGATGTTTCGGTGGCGCCCACGTTCGGTTACCTTTCATGATGTCATCACTTTGTGAACAACAAGTTCGATGGTGTTTGTAATGGGCATGGTGAAAGCCTAAAATCATAGCGCTCTCAAAGCAACACTGCCAACACCGTCAAAATTGAAGTTCTTACATTCCTCTTATTTGCGTCGATGTCAGCATTCCGCCAATTGTGGTGGGCCGACCACAGCGACGCTTTCGATAGCTCGCGCTCCTGGCTTGGAGACGGGCTTTTCTAGCGCGAGCACTCGTTCTGCGGAAGAACATTTCAAAGCTGCGATCTCGTGCTCTCGTGGTTGCAAAATTGGCTGCAGTCGGCGACGTGAGCGATCGAAAGCGTCGCTGTGGTCGGCCTGCCACGATTGGCCGAATGCTGACAATGACGTCGGCAAAGGATTGTTGTTGTTTAGCTTTACTTTACTTATTTTCTAGAAAACAACGATGGGTTGCGCGACCATGCAGGTCCGTAGGTCACCGTTGAGGGGGGAGGGGGAGAAAAGGAGAGAAGAAGAGAAGAAATGAAGAAAATGAAAGAGAGAGTGTGACAGTCATAGTGTCGTCATCGTTGTCATGTATGGATCAGGCGTATCATGGGTTGCAGTGCAATTGTTCGCCTAGGCGGAGGAAAAGCCGGACTGTCCCTGCGTATGGCGACTAGCACTCGGGAGTGAGGTTCTATGTCCATCTTCCTAGGCGGTTAGACCATCCTGGAACGTCAGTAGTGTCGCTATATTATGTCGCATAGCTGCGTGCGACTCAAGAATTTGGCTAGCGCTGTTAGCATTCTTTCCGCCTTGGCAGCTGTTGCTGTGGGCCTAATCAGCGCTTCCAGGGTGTCACTAGGGCATCCGAGGGCGGAGTAGGTTTGTCTTAGTTCGTCGCGCTCTTGTTTGTACAGGGGGCACACACATAGAAGATGCTCGTCGTCGGCGGTCACCCTACATTTACCGCTTGCGTCATCTCGGTGGTCCTTCCATTTTGCCAGGTAGGCGGGAGTGAAGGCGCTTTTGGTGCGTAACCTGTGAAGGACGGCTGTCTCGTTTCTCGTCAGGCGTCCGGGAACTTTAGCGGGTAGGGGTCCATTCTCGAGCTCCGGATTGCGTGCAGAGATAATTCGCCGCGTCAATAGGCGAGCGTCTGCGAAAGCGGGAACCTGAGAAATGGGGCAGTTTGGCTCGTCGTGGGCCCGGTCCGCGAGGGCGTCAACTGCTTCATTGCCCTCAATCCCGCAGTGAGATGGAAGCCACTGAAAGGCGATCGTCCATCCTCCCTTTTGGAGATTCTGAGCCTTGGCCATTACCTCCCGTGCGAGTGCAGGTGCCCTGTCGGGTTTCTCCAGGAGTCTTAGCGCCGCCCTAGAGTCCGTGAGCAAAACCAGGTTCCCCGGTTGTTTCCCATCCGTCATTGCCAGTCCCAGGCGGAGGGCTGCCAGCTCGGCTGTTGTGGATGACGCATGAAAGCTCAGCTTCTCCATTCTGCTGTGTCCTTCCGAGATCGCCGCAGCCGTAGCTGTTCTTCGTTGTGCTTTCACTGACCCATCTGTGAATGTCCGTGTCCATCCGTAGTAGAATTCTTCGATGTGCTGTGATGTGTGTTGATACGCTACTGTCGCTGGTGTTACTCTTTTCGGACCCATCTGCGCGATATTCATTTCGATCCTCACTGCGGGACGCTCACTGGGCGGCGGTGGAAGTGTAATGTGGGTGGTTGGGCACCCAGCAATTTCTTCAAGGAGATTGACGAGTGTCGCAAGATGTGCACGGCGAGTCGCTATGTTTTTCACGAGTGATACTGTGCTGGGAGTTTCTTGCATTCGTATGAGATGTCGTAGAGCCCGCTCTGTCGCTGCATTTTGCACTGTGTTTGTTCCCGATTCTACTAGTGTGTGACGCGATGATGCCGTCCGTGGGACGCCTAGACATATGCGCAGTGCCACTCTTTGTGCCCTTTCCAAGCTTGCCCACTGCCTGCGATTGAGGTCCAGGAGTGGGAGTGCGTAGGGCGTTCGTGCTTTGATCAGTCCATGGTAAAGTTGAAGCATCATTCGTTGTGAGGTGCCTCTTCGTACCCCTCCAAGGATGCGAAGGATGGACGTCGTTTTCTTGTTGTTTTTGAGGACTGTGCTCACAGCAGGTTGCCACGAGACTCTGTCATCTAGTTTGAGGCCCAGGTATGTTGCTTGCTTTACTATTGGTACTGGGGCCCCTGCAATCTGTAGAGACAATGTGAACTTGTACGTCCTGTGTGGCGCATTGAGCAAGGCTACCGATTTTGCCGCGGAGAGGCTGAGGCCCAGTGTCGTTAGAAAATGGTAGATGTTGTCCAGAGCTCTCTGCAGTTCCTTCTGGACGTTTTTCCTACAGCAGCCTCGGTCGGCCGCCCAGATGGCAATATCATCTGCGTAAACCGCCATGTGCACTGGGCGGATCGTCCGCTCGCCTATCCGGGCTGCTTGCGGGAGTGCCGCCAACGCCACACTGAACAGCAGCGGGCTCAGTACGCTGCCTTGCGGTACCCCTCGTGTCATACGTCTCACTGTGCTGCAGACACCCGCAGCGCTCACTTGTGCTTCGCGGCCTTCCAGGAACGCGCGGATGAAGGCAAGCATTCGGCCACCGATTCCCAGTCTTTTCAGCTCTGTCACGATGCTGTTGTGTTAAACGGCATCGAAGGCCTTGGAGATGTCGAGGAGAACTACACCTGTTGTTCGGTGTCGGGCCTTGCCGTCCTCCAACGCTGTGACCAGGTCAGCGATGGCGTCCGCTGTGCATCTGCCGCGTCGAAATCCTGCGTAGCACTCTGGCAGAGCTCCTACCGTCTCGAGATGGTGCACCAGCCTGCAGAGGATTATCCGCTCGAGGAGCTTCCCAACGCACGACGTCAGAGCTATCGGACGGTAGGAGTTGGGCTGGTCTGACGGTTTGCCGGGCTTGAGGAGTGGCACGACGATGGCCTTCTTCCAGTCTTCCGGGAGGCATGCTGTTGTCCATACCTCGTTAAGGTATGCCAGGAGGTCTGGCAAGGCGTCCTCTTCGAGGTTTCGAAGCGCTTGATTTGTCACTCCGTCAGGTCCGGGAGCCGACTTCTTTCGAAGCAGAGATGCCAGGGCGCGTTTGAGCTCATAGAAATGAAGGTCCTCCTGTCCTATGGTCATCGCCTGAAATTCCCGCGGTCTCCATCGGATCCAGCCTTTGGGTGGTTTCCTCGGTCCTGCAGGGAGGGACGGGGTACTGAGTTGTGCGTCCGCGATGAGTTCTATCACAGCTTGTGTGGTAATATGCAGCTTGATGGCCATGCCGATGATGGGGTGTCTTGGTCCCGGTCTGCATGTCAAGCTCCTTGCCATTCTCCATGCGCTTGTGCTCCCTCCTCTTCCGTCCAGTGTTTCACACTTGAGCTGCCATTGTTCTCGTGCTAGCCGTTTTCCGTGCCTTTTAAATTTTGCGTCAAGTCTCCTGAACGTGACCTGGTCCTCGGGTAGCCTTGTTCTCTTGGCTCGCCGCTGGGCTTGTCTTCTTTTTGCACGAAGCTCCAGCCACTCTAGGTCTGGATTTGGCCTGTAGGTCAGCACGCTTACCGTGTGAGTCGCCAGTCGAAGTGCGTCGGCCATAGCCTGAGTGGTGAGGGGTTGACCACTAGCACGCAAGCTGGAGAGGTGCCACTGGTACTTAGCCCAGTCGACAACTTTGCAAGTCTTCGAGGGCGGTTTAGGGAGGTTTCCCACTATGATGGGTGTGTGGTCACTTCCGCACCCGTCGGGTTGAGGGGTCGCTCGTAGCAGTCTGAGTGTCCCGGCCGTGAATGTCAGGTCTATCACACTTTGCTGCGTGTCTGCCCTAAGGAATGTTGGGGTCCCTGTGCCAATTTCTTCGAAGTCTGTTGTGTCCAGAAGTTTCTGCAGTCTCCGACCTCTGGCTGTTGTCTTCCCGTCTCCCCAGGACTCATTGTGAGCATTGAAGTCGCTGCCGATCAGCATATCCTTGTCTGTGCCAAGCTCTGCTCTCATCTCGGCCAGAACACGTGGTCGCCACTTGCCCAATGGATGTATGTATGCCGAAACTATCACGATATCTTTTCTGCGTGCGCGCACCTGCACCCCGGCGAAGTCCGCCCTCTCTGAGCAGTACACTCTTAGAAAAAAGGGTACGGATAGTCCTCCCTTACGGGAGGAACGGTCTTGTAACCTATGTTCCTTTAGAAAGGGAGAAACCTTCGTCCCTGAAGCAGGTGAGCAAAGTTCCTCCGTCGCTTGCATCTCAATATGGCGGCCCCGAATCGAGCAAATCGAGCCCAATAAGGCTTAACGAGGACGCTACGTCTCTTGTACGGGACGAGAGCAGCAGCAAATGAAAGCGTAACACGATCTTTCCGAAAACTGTGTTTATTTCCGAAGCCAGATTCCCCCCACAGGTACAGAAACCTGCGTTTCGAAAGCAGTTACTCAGTCTTCTCGTCGACAGCACTGCGATGTTAAACGGAGACAACCGATACCGAGTTACTTCGTGCACTTTGCGTCTTACCTTTGGTGCTCCTCGAGTCACAATTCCTTCGTCAACCGCACATCACGGAGAAGGGCAAACTCACTCCGCGAAACCAAAAGCCGTTCTCGAAAGAACAAACTCGAAGCCGCTGTTTATCGCGTAGCGTGAAAGAAGGTTAAATCGCTAGCCACCAGATGGCGGGGTCAAGCAGAGTAATTGCAAGTAGCTAGGCTAGGTGGCGCTAAATACCGCCCAATTCATGTTCTACAAAAAATAGCTTGCTTCTCTCAGGCCACTACTGCGCTTGAGGATCCTCTGCTATACACACGACACCCATTACACTTATTACAAGCATCAGGTGAACATACATTAAGCACATACACTGCACACACAAATATCAATACAACAGAACACCACACTAACCCGAACACTACACCCGTGTTCTACGTTTCCGTCTTTTATACTGGTCGTTTTGAACGTGCGGAACTTTTCGGTGACTCCCTAAGCAATAAAAAACATTCCCAGCATGTTGATTTTTTCCCAGCAATGTCATACCTCTGAGAGTATTTTGAATGGCTCAGGGGATGAATCTTTTATTAAAAAGTAAACGCTCGATCACGCCGTAATTATTTGAAAGCAGTAAATCAAACCGCTCCAATGCGGTTCGAAGCCATGAGTTTGTTTCCCCGCACGGCGCGTCGTAGCCTGTATTTCTATTGTAGTGTTTGTTTTTCTATTTCTGCTGTTCGCGCAAAGCTGCAATTGCCGTCTTGAATTAATCTCTGTAGAGCGGATATTCACTCAGCTGGAAGTGATGCTTCACGGGCTGAGAAATCGCTTTTCGATCAACTTGAATGCAGTCAAAGCCGCGACTTGTGGCAGGTGTTAAGTGTACGGAGCTACGCCGTGGAGAGCCCAAAAACTTCTAGCGCTCATCCTAGCGTGCCACTTGGAGGGCAGTTTCTCCAGGAACCGTAGTATATATTTAAACAGCAAAATAAATGGTAGCTTTTTTTTTTTCGATTTTACCTACTATTGTTTTTTAATGCTAAAATTCCACACTGTAAATATACGTACTTTCCGTCACAATTTCGTACTGTTGTCCTTGCCCCAGAGCGCAATCGCTCTCGGGGACAATACAACCAACAGTCACATTGGCCACTGTACGATAGGAGCTTATACTGCTCAGACCAGCGTTCCAACATGACTATCCGCACGTTGATCGATTGCACGTAATCCCTCAAGCGGTATTAAACTTTTTAATGTAAAGCAGAATGTCAAACTGCGACAACCCGCCCCCTCCGATCACGGCCCGACCAGCGGCATCAATGCCCGACCGTTTACGATCTCCTCTTGTTGTTACACCACTGATACGCGAACACACGGTCACATCGGCGATAATTCCAGTCTTCCGTTCACAACCCACAACACTGCCATCACGATGTTGCAGCTATGTTGCTGACACGCACAAACACAGAACCACGTTGAACGCCGGTTGCACTCGGCATCGGAAAACAGAACCGAACTCAGGGGGGAAGGCACCCAGGCAGCCGGCAGCAAAACCTGCCTTTCTTGGACACAGCGGACACAGTTCCTGCGGTTTCCATAACGTCGAAAACGTCGACACAGTTCCGCGTGCTTTCGCTACTGTAGTCCGTAGTGCTGCAGTGGCTGCAGTGGCTGTAGCGGCTGTAGTTCCGTGCCGCGCGAGTCAAACAATCCGGAGACGGCCATCCCCCAGTGTACATGGCACTGCTGGCACTGTTCCGGAACTTCGCTGTTTCTAGCGGCTTCGTTTGCTCGTTTGATAAAATTAGTGATAAAAACGTCAATGCAACCGAAATGTTCTGCACGTTTAGACTAGAAGACGGAATTACAGGCGGCCTTCGCTGCTGCTGAAGCTCAATCAACTCAACAGCTATTTATTAAACAACGTGCGCGACCTGCTCGAAAAACGAAACCGAAAGACGATGAGTCGGGAGGGCGAAAGCTTTCTCCCGTCTGCCTGGAGAAGGAGAAAAACGTTTCGTTCCTCCCCTTTTCTCGTGTCCGCTTGGGGGCGCGTCGGTAGAAGGGAGGAAGGCGCGCCGTTGCTACTTTTTTCCTCCATTTTTTCTTAGAGTGTACTTGGTGAGGTCCAGCTGATGGTGGTATACACTGTTCCTCACGAGTATCACTGCCCACGGATATTTGCCTGTCTGCTTGGTCGCGTAAGCGGTGTACTGAGGGATCTTGATTTGTTTTTCTTCCATTCGTGGCTCTTGTAGCAGTAGTATATCAAATGGATGTTCCAGTAGCCGTGCTTTGAGATCCGTGAGTCTTTGTCTTAGACCGTTACAATTCCACTGCAGAATTGTCGGGCATCCGGTGTCTTGGGTTGTTCTGGTCGTTTTATTGTGTGCTGTCATGAATAGGTCGTTCCGGGGACACTAGCCAAACACTTCCAGCTACGCCATGAGGCATTTGATGAATGATAAATGATGATTTCGGCGGTGACTAGTCTAAAATAGAGACAGTTATTCTGCTCACGAGTAAGGAAAGCATAAAAGACCTTCAGAATGCCATCATAATAATGGGCTCTAGGGAAAGGATTGCCCCGATCACTTGATGAAGCGCTGACGAAGGTGAGAGTGTGTTCAATAGTCTACGAAGCGCAGTGATCGCAAGTGCAATTATGGCTTTAAAAGGAGAACCATGTTCCATTCCACTAGTCTGGTTGGATGTCGGCAAGTGCCCCCCAGAAACCGTGTGCGAGGTGATGTCTTTGATGTTCGGCTGTTCCCAAAAGGATGATTTTGGAGAACTGTTTGTGGTGGACGCTACGCCCACGGACTTGTCAATTGCGCCCGCCTGTGTCTTAAGCAGAGGGAACTCTTCAGCAGTCAGCGGAGGTACATTGTTGGTGGTGTTCTTAGATGAGTGCGTGTTTTTA